GCCAGCCGTTAAAAAAAAAAAAAAAGTAAGAAATTAATAAATTTTCGTTTTTTATTTTTCTGACTGGTAAGGGGATCGCAAGCCTGGGCATGGTGTTGTTTGCACCATACTCAACCAGTGAGCACACCAGCCACCCCTATATAGGATCCGAACCTACAGCCTCAGCGCTACTAGCGCAGCACTCTCCCGAGTGAGCCACGGGGCCGGCCCGAGAAATCAATAAATTTTCAAACTGATGTATTTCATTTATTATTTATCTGATTGTTTATGAAACAATTTTAACATTGAAAGTGCTAACACAGATACTACATTATAAAAAGGAAATGTACATGCAAACGGGAGGCCACAATTTCAGTTCTAGCTTTCACATCAATATGAGCTATCACCACAAAAAAGCTCAGTTAGACTTTGAGCTCCCTCATCTGTAAAGTAAAGGTTTAAACTAGACTGGTGACTCCCAAATAAATTTGCTCCTTCAGAAGCACTGGATACTTTATTAAAAACACAGATTTCCAAGGCATGTTAATCCTAATTCAGGAAATCAGCGTAAGGGATGAGCATATACATATATATATATTTTTGTCTGTTTGCTTGTTTTTATGCAGACCTTCTCATATGACTGTAATGTTCCTCTTTGGAGTTTTAAACCAGTGGTTTAAGAACCACTGGAATTTAAGGTTGTCTTTTTCTGAGTAATATTCTGTAATTCTATGAATTTAATTTCAGTGCTCTCTGTGAAGTATTTGATGAAGTTTCTCTTCTCAACAGTTCTGAGATGTTACCAATGACAATTTGTCAATTCTGGAATCTAAAAGTATTTTTTTTTTTTTAAAGATGATCGGTAAGGGGATCTTAACCCTTGGCTTGGTGTTTTCAGCACCCCGCTCTCCCAAGTGAGCTAACCGGCCATCCCCATATAGGACCTGAACCTGTGGCCTTGGTGTTACCAACACCACACTCTCCCAAGTGAGGCATGGGCTGGCCCTGAGAAAAGTATTCATTTCTTACCTTTCATTTGTACTTCTCAGACAGTATTTGAGCTACCTAATTATTCAACTCTTTAGCTGCCTGCATAATGGACATGTACTGATATCTCATTGCATTTTTTTTATAAAATTATAATTTTTTTTTTTGGTGGCTGGA